TTAGACGACATGCACAGAAATTGCATTTTCACCATGTGGTGTTTGAGTGAATTAATGATTCCTTTGTACTTTTTGAATGCTTTATTTCGAATTCTAAATACAGTACATTCGTTTGTGGTTATCTAGTACTTGTTGGTCCGGTTACGTTATTTCTGGGATTATTAGTTCATGATATAATTCAAATACTCCTGATTATCATATTGGTGTCTCGATGGAGCCTGTGATGGAACCGTTGGACATACATTCAGATTTTGATGCTTTTGAGGATTACTTTGAAAGGTTTGAAATCTGAGCTATGACCAAGGAAGATGATGAAGATATTAATATTGTTGCACATTTCCTCACATTCATCGGAAAAAAGCATATAGTTTATTAAAAACTCTGACTTTACCGGAAAAGCCCATTTCACTTCCTTATACAGCGCTCAAGGAACTACTGCTAGACTATGTTAAGTGTACAAATTTCGAATGCGGTAAAGGAAGAAGATTTCGTAAAATGAATCATGAGGATATAAAAAAATTGCACAACGTTACGTCATCTCAAAGCAGTGCATACTCAATGTTATGCAGATAATTCATTGATGAGTTGCGATGCAGTTCATGAAGATGGGCACAAGTTTGGTCGATGTTTGTCCTGTGGCAGTTTCCACTTCTTTAATTCATGTAATTCTCGTAATTCTAAGTGCTTTAAATGTGGTGATATTGGATATATTCAGTCAGTTTGTAATACTACTGTTCATCTTGCTGCAACTAATGTTAAGTTTTGTAATACTGATTCTATTAAGTTTAGTGTTCTTAATGATCATTTATCCTTATCAACGATTTCAAAAGACAGTGTAGAGTCATATAGCAGTTCAGAGTTAAGTGAAACTCAGAATTCTTGCAAGACAACAGTTTCTAATCAATCAACGTATCAGATTTCTCATGTTATTGTACCAAATATGGTTTTTCCTAATGATTCACATATTTCTGATTAAATTCCTTACAAATCTGAGGAAAATATACTGAATGAACCTCGTCATGATCGAAAACCTGATGTAGTTTTGATAGATGCTGATTTTTCTAATGGTCTTTTACTCTGCAATGACATTTTTAATAAATTTGAGAAAACTATTTCAGAAGAATCAAATCGTGATGTTATATCAAACAATAATTTTCCCCATATTGCATTTGTTTCTTGTGGGAAACTTGTTCAATCTGAAGCACGGGTACTAAATGACCTCCATTTTGATTATAATTCGGATTATTTCATATCATCTGCTGTTTATCCTTATTACGATGTCACTTCTAATGTTTACTCTCGTCAATGTGAGAAATATATTTTAAATGAGACCACAATCATAACTTGGGGATATAATTATGCAACATTATTTCGTGGGTGGAAGATAATGTTGGGAAATTTATTCTATAAATTACATATGGTGGTTTCTGTAACCAACGGATACGGCGATTGTATACAATCCCAGGAAGCAAGTGAGTCGGTTTCGATTTCGGTTGTTAGTTCTAATACTAATGAGTACAATCTAGATAATATTGAGACTTTATTCCATACACTGTCGGACAAACACAGGATGAAGTTAAGAAGAAGTCGTACAGTCGATTACAGACATTTAGACACAAATTTAAGCTGTGGTGGATGTGATGTTTGAGTGAACTAATGGTTCTTTTGTACTTGTGGAATGCCTGATTTCGTATTCCATATACAGCACATTCGTTTTTGCTTATCTAGTACTTCTTGATCCAATTGCGTTATTTCTGGGATTCTTAGTTATTACTATAATTCAAATATTATTAATTATCATACTAAAGTACCAACATTATAACTACAGAGACGACTAATGGAGGTCTTATGTAGGAAGCACTGTAAAGATCTCAACGCCATGAAAGGATCTTAGAATAATGTATTCAAATGGGACCTCTCAACTGAAAGGAAAAGAATAAATCTCCAACTGAGTAATCAGAATCACACTATGGCTCACTGAATGAGAAAGTTAGACGATACCGGTTTATGTAGTATTCTTCTACTTCGCTAAGGTCATTGACACAGTAACTCATGTATTTCCCACAATGAAGATTGCAAAGGTAGGTTTCACTGGCCCACTTTTATCTTGCCTCTGAAACTACCTAGAGAACATGATATTTCGAACCAAGGTAAATATAGTCCAAGAGAGTCAGAAGGTATAACATCAATAGTTTCACAAGAACCAATCTTAGATCAACTCCTGTAACTGATCTTTATAGCAACCAGTTAGATGAATGTAACCCGGCTGCACCGACTTGTTGAGATGAGATAAAGTTTTGGAAGGATTCATTTGAGCTACAAAAAAATCTTACAACAATGGAGGAGTTAGTGAAACGTGACCTACTGAAATATAATATCATGGTAATTTTGCCATGTTCAACGAAAATTTATGTCTCATCGATAAAAATCCACTCCGGACGTTTCCAAAGAGCTTCGTTTCGAGCTTGTAGTTACAGAGAGGTTAGACATAAGCTCAAACTACATAAGAGATACAAAGAGACAAATTCATCTCTGGAATTTATGCTTAGACAACTTGCTGTATTCATGCCAGAGTTGCTCCGAACACTGATTATAGCGTATGCACACCCTCTACTTGAAGTTTACAAGGTCGTCAGTACCCTTTGCTTTAGGACAGACACCGTTCTCCTAGACCAGACAACCTGGTGGAGGATAGATCTTAATGAACGTATTACGATGGCTGACTTCAACACCTGGGCTTAGTTTCGTTGAACTTTAGGAGAATACAAGGTGATCTGATAGTGGCATACCATATAGTAAGTACACCAACCCAACTGAATGCGTACATATTACCAGCGCATCATCATTACCACCCACAAGGCTACCCGGCCTAGTAAAGTTGCACACCAAATATGAAACACCTAGGTACCCTTACATTTTTTCTCATTAAGAGTTTTTCTCCTCTGCAAAATGGATACAGATCCTTCAGTCGATAGCCTCAGGAAGGGACCAGACAAACAAGTACCCATCCATGAATCGCCATCTCTCAAATGTACTAGCTTTATCAAAAGCATATTTCGTAACTTACGCACGGTCGTGACTGCCCATATCAGTAAGTTCTTTCTGTCTCACTAACCGTTATCTCCGTGTAATCCTTTATTCTTTCAATTACCACTTAAATAACATATTAATTTATCCTCAAAATAATGAAATCTCAGCTCTCAAACTACCGCCTTATAATTTGGGCATTACAAACAACCAACCTAATGTCTGGAAATGTGATTGCTGCTGGTATCCAGTATCCCAATCGCTCTGAGAGAAACGCACTCACCCAGATAATAGGATATACAAATCCATGAATGACTACAACATTGACTAAAAGTAGTGCAGTCAAGTCGCCAGACTACCGCCCATCGAACACTGCTGAATACCTGGAACTGTACTGAAGCAACAAGAAGCGAATGTAAACAAATCGAACAATTGTACTGTCTCGCGACTGTGATATTGGATATTGAATCAACAATTAAACCTTGACATGACTTTTCCATTTGAAATGCGGATCTGATTCTGTGGGTTTGCATTAATTTGGTCTTTCAAAAAACCGGCCGTCAATTCCTATTGTTGTGTGTCTAACACACCGGTCAGCATTAGTTGATCAGTTGAACTGTACAGTTAAGGGCGTACATGAAATGATAATCTAAGTTGTTGTAGAGCCACTTCATACAATCTCAGGTTCAAATTTAAATCAATCGGACTGCTAAAAACTTGATATTATCATTTGACAATATGTTCCACTATTTTTTGTTATCGTTGCCAACCATATTACAATATAGGTCCTGGACACTTCAGTATTTTCCTACTACTACTTCACCTGGGTATAGATCATTTTAATATCGATATTTAATAAATGTTTATGAACTAGGTGCTCTCACTGCTCAAACCAGAAAAATTGAAGTTAATGACTGTTAAAAGTCATAAAATTGATATAATGTGCTTCAACTTTCCCGTATATTGTCAGCATAGATTATTTAGTATGCGTAAAACACTAGATCAGAGGTTTCAGCACGACGGTATGATGAGACCAACACGAGTTAGCAAATTGTTCAGTTTTTTCGTATTCACAGCTGCACAATTTCAAACGAAGTTCGCTGGTTATCTAGTGACTATTACTTTAACGTCTCAGATTTTCATTTAAACAGCTTGAAGCTAATTTTTAGGCACGTACAGCCAGATACATTAATGCTTTCTACACTTCGTTGCAAAAACTTAATGGTCCAGCATCGAAAAAATCAAGCGTCTGAACTCGTTTGTCTTGTTATTGTTGAGTTTATGAATACGAGGAGTTGTTATTTTTCAGTCGGTATGAAACTACTATTCTAGCTCATATATAAACGTCTTCTCTTATAATTTTGATTTCTTAGTAATCGTGAGCAAAGACTGTAGTTGATTTGTAATTTATCATAATTCCACTATTTAAGTCCCCGTAGTCGTCAAAAATGTGCTTAGTGCATTTGAAGTAGTTTGTGTTGTGTTCCGTACTTAAGCAATCAATTTATGTAGATGGATGTATTTAATCAGAGTCCTCTTAAGATCAGTTTCAATTGCCCAGTGCCTTGAGAAACAAAACTGGGAAAAGTTAATTAGTATTTGATGTGTGTATATAAAATATAAAGATAAGTAGCAAAGACATGAGAGTGATTAAAGTTATAAAATTTTACTGAAAACGTAATTTATAGTACAAATATTAGATCTTAATAGCAACGACCAGTTAAAAATATGATGACTTGGTAATTAATTAACTGAATTGTGGTACATGTCGGACATAATTAGTAGGCTCTTTCAAATACAAGTTATACAACATTACCGTTAAAGCTCATATGACCGCGTAAATTTACGAAAAGCTAGTATAGAAGATTTAGAACGTTCTTTGTTGTGTGGTTTTTACCAAAACAAGTATAACTTTGTTTTTTGCTTTAGCTACTTTGTCTCAATAAGTAAACGTATTTTGATTATTTGAATAGGGTTACTGAAATAATGGCGCGTTGTGCCGGTTACTAAATGTTCCAAGATGTATAAATTAAGTAAGATACAAACGTCTTAATCTAGGTATTTACCTGACTATATAACTTGTTTCTCGAATATTTTAGCTTTATATAAAACCTTTCATACGTTAAAACGTTTGAAGCTTTATGGTGTTTTATGACTACATGTAATAAGCTCACTTAAGATTATTATTGTATTTTGTGGTACGTCGATGATTGTACGCACATATTTGGGTATCATAACAGTCAATTTAATTGAATGATACGTATGTACTACAATGATTTTTTCCGCAATTATATGTTAGACAATGGATTCCCAATATTTTTGCTACAAGTGTAAACTCAGTTACAAATCAACCGATCAACTTTGACAAACTACCACATGGGATCTTGAACTTTCATATGAAGGAAATAAGTGGAAACTATGGCCGTGAAACTCAAAACTTCTCAATATTAGACAAAAAACTTATTGCACATAAAACATCTAGTGACTTATCAGTCAATCAAAATGAAATGTTATTTGGGAAAATTGCTCAATATAATCAGTTGCTAAATGTATCAATTATAAATGACCTAAAGTCAGCCTGCAAACCGGATGAAATACACATTACTCCTGAATTCAAGAAATCAGATCATACATCATGTTCTTCAAAGTCTTTACTTTACACAACATTTAAAAATAAAGACTTTTCAGGAAGCTCCTTATATATACCTCTATATTATGTTTGTTATGACTTCGACTCCACCAGTTACTCTAAGAAGGAACGTATATTTAGAACAATAAACAGAAACTCAGTTTGTCCAAGACTAAGGGAAAATCCGGTGGAAATATCTGACAGAAGTACTATATATCATCATTCTATGGATGTTAGGTAAGTAGTACCTTTTATGATGTATTTTGACTCAAATATTGTCATGAAGTTTTAACAGTTCAAAAGCGTTTTAAAACCCGAACTCAACTAAATTTCACACTTCAGTTATTTGGAACACTTACCATCATTCAATTCGTGCAAATTCAATTTTCTAGTAAAACGTTTTTGCCATTCAAATTTCGAGTTTCTAGACGTGTAATGATAGGGAATCAAGCGTACTAAAGAAGTGCACGAAACAACGGTAATCCAATAAAATTTTCTTGTTAGTTATGACCTTGGTAGTACAAGCGATGTGAATAAGCTTATCATTTATTTATTTACTCAATGTAAATCAGCTTATTGTTGCCTTCAGCGTTTGTTCTTTTAGAGTAACTCACATAACGGGTCTTAATTAAAGATAGTTTCTTTTACATTCAGTTCACGAAACTTATGATAACAGTATACCAGTTGTCTTTGAGGTAGCTGTATTAGCAAGTAAACTAGGTGTTTTGTGCAGTAATTTTTGTAGAAATAATTTGTAGTTGATTGAAGTTTGTAATAAGTGAAATCTATTTGCTTTCAAAATTAAAGAGAATTGCTGTTTGAGGTGTCTATTCAAGCTGAATAAACAGCCAATATTCCTTGAAATCGATTACTTATCGGTTAAAATATCTCACGCACAAAATCATTGTATGCTGCTTACGAAGTTATTTTATTGCTGAACATTCAAGTCTTCAGGTTGAAACAAATTTTACACGCTTTTATAACAGACACAGAATTGTGCAAGTAGTGAAGACAAAAGAGTAGATGGGCTTTCTCCTTCACCATATCAAGTTAAAGTGATAGCTCATCAAAAAATGACGTTCTCTTTATCCAGTAACATTCTGTCAAGTTTATTAAACTTTACAGGATAGTTAAAGAGGTTCATAATGTCTGTATGTTCGTTGGTCACATTCTTGCTTGTGATTCCACCTTCTTAAATACAGTTCAGAAGTGGCTGGTTTGCTCAATTTATAATAGCATATAGAACTCGGAATGATTACTGTCTTTGTTAAGTGACTTTTAATAAATATATAAGAGTGAAAAAATAGGCAAATATCGGACACTGTTTTAATTAGGCTTAAAACGCTTTTGTCAAGGGCAACAGTTAGATAATGGACTTCATGTGCAATGCATCCATGTCAGTAGTAGTTTTTAATTCATTTATTTCTTTCCGTTTCTTTACACAGAAAGTTAGTCCCATGTGCTGTAATATACTGGTCAAATGGATCTGTCAGTAGTATCAATAGACCAACAGTACCCTGTTGCGTTGATCAACTCCCTATTTATTTATCTTCACGGTTAAATTTAAAAAAAAATATACATGTTTGTAATGACTGTTATATGCGTCAAAGTAAATCTACAAATAGTGAATTTCAACCAATGATTGTTCACGATATGCCATATTCACAAGCAAATAATAGTTTTTTAAACCGGTTATTTATAAAACTGAAAAGATTTACAAAACTAATTCAAAAAATTTCAAAATCCGAAACAACTGTTTGTTTTAAAGGTTTCAAAAGCTGCGGTATTAAACAGTCTATGCTAAGTGAGCATAAACAGAAGAATTTGAAGTTCTATGCAGATGATAAATCCAAGGCAATGAAATCACGAAATTCGGTTAAACAATAATTAAGCATCATATTTATGATTCATCAGGTGGTCGCAGCTCACATGAAAAATCTTAAGTTATGTTATTCATAAATATATTAACTGATTTGATATTTAAAAAACTTTTTATCAACAGATGTATGGAACCAAGCTTTACACTTTTATTTCTACAAGTAATCTAAAGATATTCTTAAAAACACTTTATTTTAGTTTTCTCAGATAGTTGTCGTGTATATGTCAAAAAATGTATAATGTGTCTTGTTAACTAAGTTGTAGAATCCATTATTTAAATGATATATTGATATAGGTGGTAATTGATAACCTTGTCCCGTATCATAAAAGCTGTACATTACTCTTAAAAATGAAGATATAAAAGTAAACAAAACTACAGATTTAATTATGTTTTGGTACAAATAGTAAAACTTGTATTTTATTATACGTATTTGTAATTAGTTATCTATTCGGGAATAAGTGAAAGCAAAATGAATTGTCGATAAACTGGCTGTTTAGGTCATCTCACTTTGTATTTACAAGGTTTTTTTTCCTACGGAGCAGTTTATTATAGCAACACAAGGTATGCTCTTCCCAATTACAAACGAAGATATTTATAGGTGAAATTTTCAGAAAGTAAATGTTAAACATGTTTTAAATTCGTGTTACCTGTCTCCACCAAAATATTTAGTTAAAATTATTTATAAATTAAAACAACCTGGCTCTTGGAGAAGCTGAAAAAACATTTACATATCGTATACTTTGGAAATTTATTATTTCAAGCTTTTTCTTTATGTTTAGAAGCAACATGTTCAATCCTTTATGTTACCATCTTCCTAGTAATGTGGCCTTTATTTTATAGCTTGTTTTTAACTTTTTTTATCTCTGTGTTCTTCATATTCATCAAATGGTCACTTATTTTCCAAATCTCTCTCCCATGTGTTATTTCCACGATTATAACACTTTACTCACCACATAAATTATACTCAGCACTCAAAAATATTTGATTATCTGTTGATGTCTTTGTTAATGATACTACAGTTTCCTATTTTATGGTAGACCGTTACTTGTAAAATTAATTAAAAATATGACGGTAAAGCTTTACTATGTGACATCATTGAAAGAAAACTTCCTTTCCTTAACCATCTTCATTTTGTTAAGTAACACATAATTATTAAGTAGGAAGAATTCAAACTTTGGTGTGCAAATGAACTATTTTCCAAGTTTTCCTGAATATTTATTACAGAACTCGCTCATAGCATGACGTAACGAAATTTTTAAAAAATGAATTGTGTGTTCTTAACATACAGCTATCAATAGCTATATAAACTATCTATTCACTGAATTCAACCATTATTTAATTAAAAATACCTATCTATAAACTGCGTTTTTAGATAGGTAGTCATGTTGAGTAGGCCATGTATTCAATTATCCTAATTTTATAGCAACTATAATCTAGTTTATCATTTTAAAACATGTCCATACTATATTACACTTTTACTCCTTTATATTTGTCGTCGTAAATTTGTTAGATATTTTTCTACCTGTTTATTTTCTGGTTGTTCATCGTTCACTTGCTCAAAGCTTTGCTTATTAAGCCATTTGAATTACGGTTTTTATGTTACTTTTGACTTACTAATAGGATATTATTGCGGATAGGTATGAAAAAGGATCTGAAAAATAGTGATCTTCATCACCATGTGACATCGGCTAGGAAAAACTTCGAACTGAGGAACCACTAAACAGCTGTTTTATTTACATTTGAAACTGCCTGAAGGAGTAAGCTCTTCACCTAAAAACAGACTTTATCTGAGACCTGTAGGGATCGATACTTTCATACTGTTAAGTTATGTTTTAAACATCTGATTATTCGTGAAAACACTGATTTTCAGTTGATGTTTTAACAAATAACTGTCTTAGTAAATATATTGAAAACGAAATTTCATGAATATTATCATAGATTTTTAAAACATAGACCAGTTCATAATAAATTAAATGCTATTAATCTAACATTTATAAACAGCGATTTTTTATATTCACCCATTAGCGACTGAAATGATACAATTTACCAATATCAGAATGAGTTTTGTGGAGATTTTAGTAAATTTCACAGGTTGTAATCATGAGTCAGTTGAAGCTAGACCACCATTGAAAACCTGGAAGCACTCGACGGCTGTTTCGTCCTAGGAATAAGTGCTTTATTCTGAATTGTATTAGTTATGTCGAACAAGTACTGGTTCGTTTTATTATTTTTTTTCGAATTAATAATTCCATTGTTAGCTGAATGATCTTAATTTGTGTTACTCTTAATGACCATTAGGTTGTGTTCCTTTATTACATAATCAATTAATTTTTTAGCTCTATAATCTTTTGCTATTTTTTCACCCCTTAGAGGGCTCCTAGAAAATCATATACAGTTGTGACACATTTCATATTTCTTTTATATTTTTTCAACTATATAACAATTATTCTAGTCCACTACAATGATGCTTAGCCACATGTAGTGAATTTCACCGATTTAAGTACGTCAACTTTTTAATGTTTTTTTTTATAACTTTAAAAGCGATTGATAAGAACCTCATAGAATAAAATGAATTAAAGTTGTTCCATTCGAATCCCTCTTAAAGATAATAAACATAATTAAATCTATGAAATTCAGACTCATTTTTTTGGATTGGCAAGTTGTTGTTGTTGAAGGCAATTTATTATTTCTAAAACTACAGAACCCTGTTGATAAAAAAGGTTTCTATACACTTATAAACGCTGGAAAATAATTAGTATATAGTGTATACTTGAATCAGATTGTAAATTATTTAAAATTATCAAATTACTTATCAGAGACATTATGGGTAATATAAGCTAAATGAGTAAATAATCCAATTTCTAATCAAGTCAAATGTTTATCGAAGAACTTCATAGAGACATAAAATAATAAAGAATCGAGTGAATAATCAAAAAGAAAAAGAAACGTTTTTTAAAATATACATTTTAGCGGGACATAGATTGGATTAAATCATGCTCAATGCACTCCTGCGTTGACGCACACTGATTCGCTAATTCTTATCCAATCAGCGCTAGTCGATACTTGGAAGACATTCTAGAATCTTCTCATGTAAAAACTATAAATATACTAACGTGTTTCCTATTGTGCTTCTTTCTTCCATCTAACCTTGTTATTTGGAATATAATCTCTTTTCCTGTTCAACCGTGTTCTGATTTGGAAGACTTGTCGTGTGAATCGGTGTCCGAGAATACTAAGCAATAGGAATAGTTGGGTTATAACCGTAAGAGAGAATTATAACAATACAAGAAGAAAATATCTACATATTTTCTGACAGTGAGTGAATCTGATAAGTTGATAGAAAATATTCGAACATAATTAACGTCACATTTATAAATAATAAATTGATAAACTTATGTTAACTAATAACCCCAAAAAATGTTTGTATCTTTTATTTCATAGAAGAAAACTATATATTTACCTTGGAATAGATTATTCCGTTTTAATTATTGATTTAACATATGTTTATGAGTAGCTGATGAGAATGACTTGATAATGAAACATTTCATTCATTCACCCATATATATATATATTTGTCTGTATAACCTGAAAAATGCTCATTATTCTTTGTTTGAACGCTCTTTTACATTGTTTCCTTAATTTAAATATAAGAAAATAAGAGGGATGTTATTATTATTTAGTTAAATATAAATACAGGCAAGTCAACTAATGTATACATATGTATATATAGGTATTGTTCTTAAGGTCAAGGGTATTGATTGATTGTCTCATTAATATAATTATATCTTATAGATTCTATCTTACCTAATTTTCAAATATAGTGAAAATTCCCATTTTGCCATTTGGTAAATAAAGAAGGAACAAATTGAGCGAAGAAATTTCTTTTCAATTAGTTTTTCATCATGGCTCTACACTGATATATATATATATATGATTTACAATAATGATATAATATTCATCGAGTGGATACGTTACGTAATAATTACATAATGATATTCAAATTAACATTGAGTAATTGGAAGAAAGAGGAATATTAATATTCAAAGTAATTATTAAATCAAGAAGTTGCTACGTTGCGTAATATAAGAAACTAAGAAGGAACAGAATTTTAACGGATGGACAGTAGTTACGTAAAAAACCAAGAGATGAATGTTGATAAGCTATAAAGTTCAAAAGCAATAGAAACAAAATTACAAAAATTTAAAAAAAGGAAGTGGAAGAAGTATGAAAAAAAAGTTCTTATGACGGAAATCTTATACTGAAGGCCAGGGCAGAGAAAGTGGTTGTACGAATTTCTTTTGGATGCAAAGGTCAGGTTTGTGAACATGGATTGCGATGGCTTCCGCAATGTGCAAAAGGCGTACTCGTAAACCATGTGGTAGATTTGATGGAATATTGTAGATAACCTTAAAAGCTTTATTCAATTCGACTTGATGACCTGTGTCAACCAAGTGAGAGAGAATAGAGCTTTTAATTACTTTCACCTGTTCTTTGCTTAGTCATGTCGGATGATGTTCTGTAATGCGGTGATGGACCTGCCGAATTGTACGCCCTATGTAACTGGCTCCACAGGAGTAGTTGAAACGATAGATACATATAGATTTGGCGAATTCTGGTAGTCTGTCTTTAATGGATGTTCTTATTTTCCGGTGGTTGTAGAAGATGACATTTCATTTGGCAGCATTAAATGTTTTTTGTACAGCCCTTCGTAGTTTCTGAGTCATGACTTCTTCAATGGTGTCATTTAAGAAGTGATTTAATAATTACTTTGAATATTAATTTTCCTCTTTCTTCCAATTACTCAATGTTAATTTGAATGTCATTATGTAATTATTACGTAACGTATCCACTCGATGAATATTATATCATTATTGTAAATCATATATATATATATCAGTGTAGAGCCATGATGAAAAACTAATTGAAAAGAAATTTCTTCGCTCAATTTGTTCCTTCTTAACTTTCAAATGTTGTCATTTTTTTTCTACAACTTTATCTTCATTATGATAATGTAAATGAATTATTCCTATTAGTTTCATATTTTGAGTAGTGAAAAACTTGAAACAATAATTCACAGTATTATTGATATTTTTATTGCATTCATTACTTTATATACCAAAAAAAAACAAAACAAACATTATTGTTAAAGTGGGAAACATAATTCATTGGAGTTTAACTCAAGTAATGAACTCTTAAAGTGATCTCAAATTTATGAACTCGATTTTGTATGTTGCTGAGGGGTGTACAATTCTGAATAGTTTGAAACAGTTTATCCAGTGCATTATAATCGTTTGTTTTGTTTTTTTTTCCAGCTGATTTCATTCCATTACTAAAAATAACTGTTATAGTAGGAAATAGGCAAATAATTGATGAATTTCAATTTTATATTGAATTCCAATCAGTACCACAGTTTTGATATTGATCATTTTCACATTGTGAAATATTTTAATTTTTTGTCTAATACTTACTTACTTACACCTGTTACTCCCAACGGAGTATAGGCCGCCGACCAGCATTCTACAACCCACTCTGTCCTGAGCCTTCTTTTCTAGTTCCATCCAATTCTTGTTCATTTTCCTCATGTCTATTTCCATCTCCCGACCTAATGTGTTCTTTGGTCTTCGTCTTCTCCTCCTTTGGCCTTGACAATTCTATGTAAGGGCTTGTCTTGTGACGCAGTTGGGTGCTTTCCTCAATGTGTGTTCTATCCATTTCCGGTGCTTCTTCCTGATTTCTTCCTCCACTGGGATTTGGTTTGTTCTCTCCCACAGTATGTTGTTGCTAATAGTGTCCGGCCGAC